ACAGGGATACAAATACGAACATATGCGATATCTATATAGACGCAGGCAAGTTCATATATTATTATATAGTATATAAATACAGTATATAAATATATTTCAATCCATCTCAAAGTATTCCAAAGCGAACTTATCACTATCTCAAAGGCCGGCACAACGCATCTGCGGTTCCTCTGCTATTGCTGTTGTCCATGGGCGTCGTTGAACACCTCGGTGTTCCCGCTCGTTTGCCCCCTTCTGTTATAAAAAAATGTGTTCCATTTTCGAATTTATAAACAACGGCAAATAAAAGATAAATAAAGATGCAATTTCTTTATTTTTCAGCTGTGTCCTCACCTAATTTAATTGAGACGTGCAATTTTAGTGGAGGCCCAGTTACACACCATGTGCACAAAGGTAAGTTATTGTCCGTTTTAAATTTATTTTAATCAAAATTATATTCGATAAGATATTTTTTTAAACTTTCTCTTATACTCTATAACATTGGCACTGCACTTCTGAAATAGTTAACAATGATTTTAGTGTTATTTAGCAATAATTCCATTCGAAAAACAATAATTAATCAGTGATTGACAGTTAAGAAACGAGATTTTTAATTGAAATTGTTGTTCCAGCCGTGTCAACTCAAGGATTAGTGCAAAGATATTCCTTCAATGGCGGCTCACATCGATCTCAACGTAGTTTTACTGCAGGTAATTTATTAGTTCCTGTTTTATAGATTATATAAAAAGCAGTTGCAGTGTTATTATACAAGTCTAAACAAATAAGTTTCGTTTTAATCTACATGTCAACTTCGTGAAAACTAATATAAGAAATTTAACGGTCGCAATTTTTTATTCTTGCAATTTTGCCTTGTACTTTTTGAAAGGAAGATTATTTTTATAAATAACTATAGCTATTTTTATTATATCAAGAGATATAATCGTCATATATAATTTTATAGTAATTTATATAGAAAAAAAAAGAAAATTAAAATATGTATGCAATAATGGTTTGTACGAAAATGATGAGGCTACTGCCCCCGTCTATAAACACCACCCTTTCGACAATTTATCCCCTCATCAGAGCGTAAGTAATGACAAAAACGTGTAATGTAAATCGGCCGATGACCCGTTTCAGTTTTGTTAATGTATGTGTCGTATGATATATTAAATATACGAAATATTAAGCTTGAAAATTATTATAAATTCTTTTTTTGGTTGAATATTTTGAATGTTATTCAATTTATCTTTATTCTAATTTAACAATCTATTGCCAAAATTAGAATGGTTTGATTATAGCATCATCATCATCAAACTGCCTTTATCCAACCATACATTTCTATCAGCCGTCATATCTGAATTCAACACCTTCTTACGCATATCCTCTTTCCCACAATCCATCCATACTTTCTTGGACTTATCTTATCAAATTAAATATTGTGTTACAATCTTTATTAATTTCAAATAATTGTCAATAATTTCACAGACGTTCATCCGGATTACGCGACTAATTGCACAAGTATGACGGAGCAGTCTATCTCCAAGCCTGTGGGAGTGAAGAGCGCTCTCATTCGAGATCTTGAAAAGCAGTCGGGTTTCGAAGACAAATCTCCCACATACAGTAATGTTTTATTGAGTTTACACTGCAGAAACATTAACATTAAAACATGTTGTAGTCTCTTGTTTCAGAGGGATAGTGATAAGATACTTTCTGCATATGCTTTGCATATTTGCAATTCAAGCATCATTTGTAGTAAATTTTTAATCTTATATACAAAATTCTCGTGTCACAATTTTCGTTCCCATACTCCTCCGATACGGCTTGACCGATTCTCATGAAATTTTGTGAGCATATTGAGTAGGTCTGAGAATCGGCCAACATCTATTTTTAATCCCCCTAAATGTTAAGGGTAGTCCACCCCAAATTTTTTTTTTAGACAAACACGCGGACGGAGTCGCAGTCGACAGCTAGTAGTATAATAATGTTCTCTCGTGGCTAATCATTTTTTTTCTAGATTCCAGTGATTCTTCTTCGTCTGGATCTCCTAAAGTCGCGCCATCGAAGAGAGGAGTGGCAATCCAAGTGGTTCTCGATAACACTGGACATGGTATTGACATTTTTAATATTATCTAAATTAAAAACTATAAGAATAGACAGAGATAACAATATTGTATATACAGTCGAACATGGATAAGCGAGAATCCAAGGAATAGCGATATTTATGATCATTGAAGTTTGTTCTAACTCGAGTTTCTGGCTCATGGAGTTCGTGCATCGGGACCGGGAAATTACTCTTGCTTCGAGGTTTCTCGCTTATCCGGGTTCGACTATATCGCTGGCACTCCAAAATTTCGTAATTTAGTCATATTCAAACGGTAGAGGGAGGTAAGCTTGAAGAAGCTTGTATCCGTATGTAACTTAATTCTAACCTATCTACTAATGGGTCAAGGTTATGTTACGCGTGATATATGTTTTTCTTACATGCATTTTGCAAGTGAAATTTCATGCTAACAAAGTATGTGATTCACTCCATCTTATCTTACTGTTATAAATTCAAATGCTTAGCCGGATGGATGTGTGTTTGAAGGTATCTTCAGAACGGCTGCATGGATCTCGCTGAAATTTGGCTTTAATGTAGAACATATAGTCTGCAAGAATACATAGGCTACTTGTTATGTTTATTTTTAATTACGCACGGACAAAGTCGCGGGCGGCTGCTAGTAGCAAATTGAATGAAAACAAGTATAAAAGGTGTATTTAAATATTAATCGGCCTTTCACCATGAACACGTTCGGAAAGTCATTATAATAACACAGAGGAAACGATTTTCCTACAATGTAATTACGTTGGCCCGTCGCGAGTAAATTGTTATCCATTTTTTTCCAAGCTTTATTCATGAAATCTCATACATTTGTGCGAAATGGGTCGGAAAGATAGATTACTCGGTGGACAGGTGAGTCGGATATTCATTGGTCTTGAGGTTAACGCTTTACAATTTATCAGGACATATAAAAATGATGTGAGAAATCTTAATCTTATCATATATCTTTAAATGAGCAATTCTTGTATAATTGGAATCTCGGAATCGGCTTCAGGGATTTTCATAAAATTTAGTATATAGGGGGTTTCGGAGGCGATAAATCGATCTAGCTAGGAATCATTATTAGAAAATGTAATTTTATTCGTGTTTTATCGATAATCAACTTAAACATAAACTTGGAAGAAAAATAACAAAAAGAAGGCGTTTGAGTAGTCTCAAATAAATAATATTATTCATATTTCATCATTTTATTAGTAATTCGTACTGAAATATAATTTCCAAAAAACATAATTTAAAAAAAAAATACCGAACACTCGGTCATCCAGATTTTGATATTATAAATGCGAACGTTTAGATGTGTGGATTATTAGTAGGTATCTCCAGAACGGCTGCATGGATCTCGCCTGAAATTTGGCATAGATTCTACAAAGTCTTGAATAACACACAGGCTACTTATTATGTATTTTTTATTAATTCAAAAAACTAATTTCCAGAGGCACAGACCTAAATATATTGTTAGATTTTTTTTCTTTTCTTTGACTTGTTCGTATATTATTTTTTTGGCTTTTATACTTATTGGTTTTGTATGAATGTTGTACACCTGTTATTGGATAAATTATCAGTTTTATTTTGTTGTATATTGTATTATTTTGGTTAATGTTGCATAATTTATCTGTTTTGTGTACTTGTCTAATAAATAAATAAATATTTCTGCGCGGACGGAGTCGTAATGGCTAGTTAAAACAAAAGCAAAAATATCGCTTTTCAATACGAATCAGTTTCCAAACATTGAAGACAATTTTTAATGTTGATTACAGTGGTTATGGTTAGTTGTACGAAACATAAACGTTAGTTGTCATTACCGAAAAATCTTATTGAAACGTCTTATAATTTCTGTTTTGATAGATGCAAAGTCTCGAAGGGTTCTAAGCACATCGGTGGGAATATTCACATCACTTCACGGACTCTCCCAATCAATACAGACGCCGTACAACAAACTGGGAATTGATAATGGTTAGTACTAGTTATTTTAATTTAAGTACTAAAACGTAGCAAAATATATTTTTTTAATCATTACCGTATGAATTTCTTTAATGGACGGTGATATTTCTATCGTTCTGTATTTCTTGAAACTAAAATAAAATGACAAAAATTGCGTCAATACTGATTATTAATTATTTCAGTTATTTAAACCTTAAAAACTAACATCATGAGCATGAGCACTATACGTCCCCACTGAGGGGCTCCGAGCCAACCCTGAGTTAAAGGTACCAAAAAATAACAGGGCCGTATTATTTCCTGATGTTAGCTTGCTGCATATTATTTCCTCTATAGAAACTTAAACCCTGGTAACAAATATAAACTTCTATAAAAACATAACTTAATTATTGTATTTCAATTGTTTAGAATTAGGCTTCAATTTGATACCGGCTACGTCTAAAAGCACGTATACTTCATGCCACATGGCCGGGGCGGCTGTACAAACAGGATTCAAGACTACAAAAAAAAGTATAGGTAACTTTTTTTATTGTTATTAAAACAAAACACTAGTAATAATTGAACATGCAATTTTTTTTTCTAAATCGCTCTTAGACCAGTTATTTAAACGTTACCGATAAATATTGTATTGTAGGTGAAAGTGTACTGTGGTAGTTATTTAACACGTTGAGCGCCACGCGTATTTCTAAGACAATCCCGTTCAGGCCACGAGCG